GAATTCGGTCGAGTCCACTGCGAATCCCCATATTTGTTACTCGGGCATCATTCGATGTAATGCCTGTCAGATACTGAGTAATAGTAGTAGTAGTAGTAGAAGAAGAAGAAGAAGAAGAAGAAGAAGAAGAAGAAGAAACGGAAACCGAAGAAGAAGTAAACAGGAGGGTGACGCAAAAATACATGATGACTTAGTTTGAGAGGAGATTAATTCATGCAAGTTTCCGGAGAAATTGCGTTGGCGAACTGCCATTGGGGTCTGAATCACAGCTAGAAATTCTAGACGCCAAAAAAATAAATTTCTTAGTTCGTAATACAAGTAATATTGAGATAGCGACCACATCCAGTGCACTGAGAGGATTTAGAAGAGGGCCAAGTACACTAAGTGTACATTTGCTACGCGTCACTCGACTGACCATATTCCAATTGAGTTCCGAATTCCCAAGTTTATGATACGACACCCAAATCTACTCCTACCAGGTGGTTGAACACGCACCTAAATCACCTCCCAGGTTGATCGCATAACAGCATCTACAAGGTCCTGTTTACCCCAATGTCACATGCGATAGCAAATCAAAAGCCAGCCTTGCCCCTGCGTCTCAATCCAGACACAGCATAATGTTTACATTAGAAAACGTGAAGGCATGTTTTTTTCTACACGAAACAGCGCTTACATTATTGAACACCGGAGGTTGTTTTGATCGATGCATATGTGCGAAGCAGGAGACCGAAGAAAATGCTGTTAAAAATTTTCCCACATAACACACGCTTCCATTTCGCTGTCTTTCGAATGCAGCTACGACTGATAGTGGAATCAGTCTGGACAGTGGCATTTACATAATCTTTGCAGATGGATTCGTCTTTACGAAACCCCGAACAACAGCGATGATTCAGCCTGCTCGCAGCAAGCACACAGCTCGCTCTTCAATTTATTCACATAATTTGCAAAAGGCGCGCACGACGCCCGGCTTGTGGAATGGGCTACATCGTAACAACGAGAGGACTTACTGCAGCACACGCTGAATGCCCTTCCCGCTACCCGGGTTTTTGCAGTCAATAAACTGTCCACTTTGCTTTTAAGTAAATGGACACATTAAGGCTATTTTTGGAGGAAAATTGCCTTCTGAAGCTGCAATTAGTGTGGTCATCACTCTCTGAACCCTCTGATATTTCACTTTGTAATCTATGAAAGCTGACAGTCTGTTCCAAAATCAGGGCATTTTCCAAATCGACACAATCGCATATCTCACTGGCGCGGTTAGGTATAATACTCACTCAGCTGGTACGTCAGCTGCACGACGGTATGATGGCGCGAGTCACGGACAACGGTGCTGTATCAGAGGCATTCGCAGTGACCAACGGAGTGAAGCAGGGATGCGTGCTGGCACCAACCCTCTTCAGTCTTATGCTCTATGCCATGCTGATGGACGCCTATGTGATGAGCACCCCGGGATCCGCATCGCCTACAGGACGGACGGTCACCTCCTGAATCAACGGCGGATGCACTTCCAATCGCGCGTATCCACAACCACCGTTCACGAACTTCTCTTCGCCGACGACTGGGCCGTGAACACCACCTCGGAAGAGGACATGCAAAGGAGCATGGACTTCTTTTCCGCCGCCTGAGGGAACTTCGGTCTGACCATCAACACGCCGAAGACGGTTGTCATGCACCAACCGCCACCCAACACAATTCACAATGCGTCACAAATCAGCGTGAACGGAACCCAACTGCAAGTGGTGGACAACTTTACGGATCTAGGCAGCACCCTTTCCGGCAGCACGAAAATCGGGGATGAAGTGGTCCGCTGGATTACCTAGGCCATTCAAGCCTTCGGCCGCCTCCAAAGCACAGTTTGGATTCGTCATGGTCTCCAACTAACAACGAAGCTGAAGATGCACAAGGCCGTCATCCTCCCGACGTTGCTGTACGGAGCAGAGACTTGGATGGTGTACACAAAGCAGGCACGCCGACTCAATCACTTCTACCTCAGTTGCCTCCGCCACATACTGAGACTGAGCTGGAACGGACTGGGATATTCAGCATTTACACCATGCAGAGACAAATGCAGCTGCGCTGGAGCGGCCACCTGGCGCGCATGGACGACGAGCGACCACCCAAACGACTCTTCTACGGAGACATCGTCACGGCGGGCTCTCGCCGCCAAGGAGGCCAAATCTGTCGATACAAGAATACTCTAAAGTCCTCCCTAAAGCGTCTGCAAATCAATCCGGCCAACTGGGGAGACCTCGCCCGAGACTGATCGACCAGGCGGAACTCAGTGAAGACAGGCTCTGCGCATTGCCTGCGCCAAAGCCAAACGCGGAGCACACAAGTCTCAGCTGCGCCCACCCCGCAATGCAATCGTGCAGCCGCCACCCACGTGTCATTCACGTGACATTCAGGGCGCCAATTTGATAAGATAAGCGGCGAGAAGTTCACGTCCGAATGTGCTGTAGCGGGTTTTGGCCTTGGATAGTTTCTTGGAGAAGAAAGCCAAAGGCACGGTAGAATCCGGCAGACTTTGTTGAAGAACCGCGCCAACAGCAACATTGGACGCATCGACCATCAAAGATGTGGGTGCATCAGCGTGAAAGTGAGTCAGGAGGGTGGCGTCAGCCAGAAGGGCTTTTACCTGCTCAAATGACGTGAGTGCGGCTGATGTAAGTTCAAAGGTGCGCTTAGAACCAGAGAGGAGACTAATCAGAGGTAGGATGGTGTCGGCACAGTTTGGGAGAAACCGGCGATAAAAGTTCACCATACCAAGAAACCGTTGCAACTGACGGTTCGAGGTAGGGGGTGGAAAGTCCCGAATGGCGGCAACCTTTGAGGGAAGAGGCCGAATGCCGTGGGAGTCGACCAGATGACCGAGAAATTCTAGGAAGGGCACACCGAGGACGCACTTTGACGGGTTGAGAACAACGTCAAATTGTTGAAGGCGGTCAAACACCGTTGCCAGATGTTCCATGTGTTCTTCGGTGGGGGAGATGGCTACCAGAAGGTCGTCGATATAGGCGTAGACAAACAGTAAGCCGCGAAGCACTCTGTCTACAAACCTTTGGAAGGTTTGGGAGGCGTTGCGAAGTCCAGACGGCATGCGCAGGAACTCAAAGAGGCCGAAATGGGTGGTAACGGCCGTCTCCGAAACGTCCTCTGGGGCTATGGGAATTTGGTGGAAAGCACGGACCAGATCGATCTTCGAGAATACAGACTTGCCGAATAGGGCACCGCGTCTTTTGAATTCGGTTTGAAATTTTCGATCTCCGAGGGATTTAACTTTTCCGAGTCTCCTGAGTCCTGGAAACCCTGACGGCCTCTCGGGATTAACAAGTCGATTCTTCATAGCAATATCTCGATCCTCACAGAATTTCAACGGGAGTTTCGTCCGGAAAACCTGTCTCCTTCCGACCACATCTGACAGCCGCACCGCCATATTCCCGAAATACAATAACGGCTGAGTCGTTTTCTAATTTCAACGGGAGTTTCGTCCGGAAAACCTGTCTCCTTCCGACCACATCTGACAGCCGCACCGCCATATTCCCGAAATACAATAACGGCTGAGTCGTTTTCTACTTACTTCATACCGTTGGTGTCGCTTTAAATCGTTTCCATACCGTTAAAAACGTTTTAAAATTATTGGCTTAATAATGGCAGTCGATTCAGGGTCCTCCAGATATTGGGCAAAAACTCCGCCCTGGGACGGATTCGAACCTAGGAACGATAGAGACGCAGACATTGTCGCTACCACTACGCCATTGATGCGCGTGAGACGGGTTGACAAAAATAATAAAATAACAGAAAGACGCTGTGCAAATGACTATTGCGATAAGTCCTCGGCTGTCAAATTACCTCCCGCCAAACGCGCAAGGAGTCTAATAACTTTATTGGATGTTAAATGCGAGGACGAAACCTGCACGTCATGTTTTAGACTTCTCCAGAAAATCTTTGAGATGTAGAAGGATATAAGGAATTTAAGATTTGAGATGGAGAAGCTGATGAAACTGCCTCACTATTCACCCGAAAGGAGAAAGATGGCGATGTGGGAAGTTCAGAAGATGACCGGAAAAAAGGCCAATACGACTTCAATAACTGTATTAGCCCCTGAAAAACAAGACAGCCCGTCTACGGATCCCATCGCAACCGAGACCCTATCTCATGTGCGAGCGCAAAAAAAAATCTTATGCAAGATATTTAATCTTGCTCTTGAAAGTGAAACTTATCCTACCTTGTGGAAAGAATCACACATTTTGCCCATTCCTAAGCCCGGCAAATCTACATCATTTGATGACTCTCGGCCAATAA